AAGAGTGTTTGCCGCTCTTGCAGAGGACCAGGTTCTTCACTTCCCAGTAACTCCTATCTAGAGAACCCAGTGCTACCTTCTAGTGTCCATAGACACCAGAAACACATGTGGGGCATCGACACATTTAAAAAAAAAGAATCAAACAGGCAGGTTACTTAAACTTCCGTAAGATTCTAAGACAATACAGTATTTTTCTCCAGGATCGTTATATTTAAATGCTGGTTTTTTTTTTTTGTTTGTTTGTTTTAAATGCTGTTTTTGAAGAGTCTTTTCCAGCTAGGTATGCTGGCATACATTGTTAATTTATACTCTTCTGAAGAGCAGAGGCAGAGACAGGTAGAGTTCTGTGGATTCAACGCCAGGCTGGTCTACAGAGCAAGTTCCATACAAACCGAAACAATTAATAAAACAATAAAGAGGTCTTTCCATGTGATAAAAAAAGATTTACTGTTACTGTTTGAAGATAAATATTATTTAATGCCTGGGCGGTGGTGGCACATGCCTTTAATCCCAGCATTCAGGAGGCAGAGCTAGGCAGATCTCTGTGAGTTCGAGGCCAGCCTGATCTACAGAGCAAGATCCAGGGCAGGCACCAAAACTACACAGAGAAATCCTGTCTCGGAAAAAAAAAAAAAAAAATATTTAATATGTTTGTACTTAAAATGTTAGAGTCAAAGATTAGCATTTTGCAGGCTGGTTATAACTTTTCTTCTCTAATAGTCCTAAATCCCTTTCTTAGAAAGAAGAAATACAGAGCAGCAGTGATCTGGGGTATTGTGATTTAAAGCTTTGGTTTGTTTGCTCTATTCTTGACACCTCTGGTGGTAGAAATGGCAGTCTTTTTTTCTCTTTGTTTTCTTGCAGCATTGGAGAATTTGTGGCTCATATCATTAGCTGTTTCAAAAGTGCAATTGGATAGATGCATAGTCACTGTGGGTGGGGCTAGTAATGGAACTTTCCTTGTACTTGGTTTATAACTGAGAAAGCCAGAAAAGGGTACATAGTACTAATTGTAAGTGTATGTTACTTGTTTAAGTGGAGCTAGAGAATGACCATGTCCTCTCAGGCACTTGAATTGTGAAATAGATAAAGGTTGTGAAATGTGAATACAGAGAAATGAAACTATAAAAAGGAATTTGTTTTTTGTTGTACAGGTTTTTTTCATTTTTTTAATATGACAACTAAAGAAGTAATCAAATTGGACTCTCCACATTGTTCCCATAAATACTGCAAGATTATTAAAATGAAATGTTAATTTCCTTTATATTTAACTGAACCATTGAATGCCTAATATACAAGTTTCTTTGGTAATCTTTTCCTCCTGTTTTTACTTAAAAATATTATTGGTACATATTTTCATTTGGCTTATTTGTTGTACTTGATGGAAAAGACAGCAACGTTTGTTGAAAATGTTTAGGAACTGTTTTAAAGCTTCAGGAACTGAGGGGTTTTCTGGTAGTTTTAGATGGTGTTTCTGGGTTTTCACAGTGAATTAATTGCCACATAATATACACAGAGTAAAATTCTCTCACTTAATGTTTTAAAGACAAGTTAAAATACATGGATAGTATTACTCTAAAACCAACATGAAAAGAACTGTCACATTATACACATAATACTTAGCAGCTAGGGAAAGCACCATGATCCAGAAGGTGGTTTCCCCAGGGTGACGCGTCTCCATTGCTGACCCCTGTGATTCCCCAAAATGGAGGGCATTCAACTGCATAATGCATGGTAGTGGGGGAATATGTTTGTACTTTCATCTGAATGAAAATTTATTCTTAAAGAATTATATAAATGAGCTGGGCATGGTGGCTCACTCCTTTAACCCCAGCACTTGGAGACAGAGGCAGGCGAAGCTCAGTGAGTTCAAGGCCAGCCTGGTCTACAAAACAAGTTCCAGGACAGCAAGAGCCGTTACACAGAGAAACCCTGTCTCAAAAAAAAAACAGAAAGAAAAAAAATTATATAAATGATGGACTAGAGAGATGGCTCAGTGGTTAAGGATACTGACTGCTCTTCCAGAGGACCCAGGTTCAATTCCCAGCATCCACATAGCAAGTCACAACTGTAACTCCAAGATCTGACACCCTCACACATACATGCAGGTAAAACAGCCAATGAAAATAAAATTTTTAAAAAAGAATATAAATGATAAAAGTACCAAGGGCTGGAGAGATGGCTCTGTGGTTAAGAGCACTGGCTACTATTGTAGTGGACCCAGGTTTGATTCCTTGCACGCACATGATGGACCACCTGTTATTCCAATTCCAGGGAACCTGGAATTCTCTTCTGGCCTCTACAGGCACCCTACATGCACATGATAAAATTTCAATGTACAGACAAGAACACTCATACACATAAAATAAATACATTTAAAAAATAAAAAGTAACTTACAACAACAACAAAAAAAAACACGTTAGGCTTGGTTGCACATGCCTTTAACCCGAGATCCGCCTGGCTCTGCCTCCCGAGTGCTGGGAATAAAGGCGTGCGCCACCACCGCCCGGTGCTAATTATTTCTTGTAATGAAATATAGTGCAGATTTCACATTGACTCCAGTTATTGTTCATGAATTATTTGGCACATAATTGTAACATTAATTTTTAGAACAGAAAACCTGAGAACTGTTAGAAAAACTGAAAGGACTATGTTAAATACATAAAATTTGTAAAATCTCCTTTTAATAAATTACTTTTACTATTTTTAAAAAATAAAACTTCCCATTAAAAATATGTTTTGTTTCTCTTCCTTGTAATACAGGTCAGCTGCGAGTTAAAAAGCAAAAGCACAGCCGGTGGCAGTGCCTGCCTTGCCGGTGTACGGTGTGTGCGCGGTGTGCGCGGTGTGTGCGGTGTGCGTGGTGTGTGCGGTGTGCGCGGTGTGCGTGGTGTGTGCGCGGTGCGCGCGTGGTGTGCGTGGTGTGTGTGGGTAAACCCTTCCACTCAGATCCAGATTGTGGAAGTGCTCCTGAGGATGACTGAGGTTGGACCCCGGCTCCTCAGAGAACCAGTTTTGTTTCCTTTGTTTCTCTCAGCTTCTCAAGAGATCCTGCCCCAGAGGGGAGACCGGCCTTCCCTAGTCTTCCCTGGTTATAGTCCTGTGTTGAATTGACTTTGTTTTCAGGATTTGTTTTTAAACTTAAAAAAAAAGGTGTTTCCTGCTTTGAGTCCATGTCTGTAATCCTCGATGTTTGGGAAGCTGATGCAGGAGGATCAAGAGTTCCAGGCCAGCCTGGGCAACATAGCAGAACCCCAGGCCCTCCTGGCGGGAGGGGAGCGGGGGGAGCTTCTTTGAGCTTCCATAGTCTTAAATATACTTTTGTAGGAGGAAAGAGTTATATATGATAGGACAGTGTGTTCATATGAGGTATCTAGAATGTTTAACCTTTGTTTCTTATATTAACTGTGTTATTATGTCTCTACCAGTTTAAGTCTATTGGGGTTCTTTCTTTCTTTTTTTTTTTTTTTTTTTTTTTTTTTTTTTTTTTTTTTGAGACAGGATTTCTCTGTGTAGCCCTGACTGTCCTAGAATTTTCTGTAGATCAGGCTGGCCTCACAGAGATCTGCCTGCCTCAGCCTCCCGAGTGCTAGGATTAAAGGCATGTGCCACCACTGCCTGGCTAGTTTAAATCTGTTGATCTTGTCTAATTCACAAGGTAAAAAAAAATTTGTATAATTTTATGAATCAGGGATTATGTAAGTGCCATGATAGAATGTACCTAGGTTTTCATTGATATAAAAAGAACATTTGGGGTGTGTGTGTGTGTGTGTGTGTGTGTGTGTGTGTGTGTGTGTGTGTGTGTGTGTGTGAGAGAGAGAGAGAGACAGACAGACAGACAGACAGACAGACAGACAGACAGACAGACAGGAAATTGCTCAGTCATAGAAAAGAATGTAATTTGGGCTTTTTGAGGCAATATGAATGGAACTAGAGGATATTATATGTTAAGTGCAGTAATTCAGGGACAGAAGCCAGGCAGTGGTGGTGCATGCCTTTAAACTCAGCACTCAGGAGGCAGTGGCAGACGGATCTCAAAGTTCCAGGACAGCCAGGACTACACACAGAAACCTTGTCTCAAACAACAACAACAAAAATTCCGGAACAGAAAGATAAATACCCTTATTTATGTATGGAAGCTAAAATGTTGGTCTAAAAGAAGGTAGAAGAATAATGGTTACATTTTTCTCTTGGGCATGGGGAGTGACGGATGAAGGGATGATGGATAACAGATACAAGGGTACAATAGGGTAAGAAGAATAGCTTCAGAATCTGTAGCATGGTAGGGTAAATGGTTGACAACAATGAAATTTTTCAAAATGGCTAGTTTAGGCCTAGATGTCTTCATTGTCTTGGAAAATTCCGGCTTTCTACCATGCTGTTGGAGGTTAAGTCTGTCAAGTTATAAAGAGGAAAAGAAGATAGGGTTAGCCAGGGTTTCTAACAGAAGGATTTGCCTCATGTGGTTTACAATATTCTGTCCATCTCTACAGAGAGAACCCCAGAGATACAGCAGTTCTTTCTTAAATGTGGGGAGACATTTAAGTATGTGAAACTCTGAAGATTTGTTTGCATGTTTTCCCTTGAAACCTGCTACTCCTTGAATGAATCAGTATGAGCCAGATGTGGTGGTACATACCTTTAGTCCTAGCTCTCAGGAGGAGAGACAGGAGGGTCATGATTTCAAGGCCAGTCTGCACTACAGAGCAAGAATCTGTATACAAACAAGTAAGAATTGATGCTACCAGATTGTAAGATACTTAATACAACCAACTATCATAGAGAGTTGACTTTTAGGACAGCAGATGCCTTTGTGGGTAATGACACTTGTTCCCAAGCCTAATGACCTAAGCTCAATCCCTAGAACCTATGTGGCAGAAGTAAAGAACCATCTCCTCATGTGTGTATATATATATACACACACACACACACACACACACACACACACACACAATCACAAATAAATGAGTGATATGTTTCAAAATCTTTGTTTTTACAGGACTTTGCATCACGGGCAAAACTGGCAGTTCAAAATCTAGTACAGAAGGTTGGATTTTTTGGAATTTTGGCCTGTGCTTCTGTAAGTAGATTATCTTTAGAGCTGTAAATTTCACTAAATGGTATGACTGTGTTTTGATCACTGTTTTTATGTGTATGCGTGTTTTGTAAGTATGTACATGTCCCACATTCATGCCTGCTGCCTGCAAAGGTCAGAAGAGGATCAGACCCTCGGGAACTGGAGTTAGGTGCTTGTGAGCCGCCGTGTGGGTGCTGGGATCTGAACTGGGAATGCTGAGCAGTCCCTCCAGCACCTCAGTTTGTTTTTAAAAGTACACTCCTGAATAAACAAAAATGTTGTTTGTGGGGGTTGTTTTGTTTGTTTGTTGATTGGTTTTTTTGGGAGGGGAGGTTGTTTTTTGTTTTTTTTTGTTTTTGGTTTTTTGAGACAGGGTTTCTCTGTGCAGCTTTGGTGCCTGTCCTGAATCTCACTCTGTAGTCCAGGCTGGCCCCGAACTCAGAGAGAGTTCACCTGGCTCTGCCTCCTGAGTAATGGGATTAAAGGCGTGTGCCACCACTGCCCGGCTCGTTTTTGGTTTTTTTTTTTTTTTTTTTTTTGAGACAGGATCTTATAAAGTAGCCCTGGCTGGAACTCACAGAAATAATCCATCTGCCTCTACCTACTAATGCTATGATTAAAGGTGTACCCAACTATACCCAGCTGCTATCACTTTTACTGAGTATAAATTTTATGAATCATTCATGTTATTAATTGAGCTTATTTGCATTCGATAGGTTCATAATCTTGTTTATTGACTTCAAGTATTTCATCACACAATAATGACTCTAGATCTGAAAGGCTTGATTCAGCAAGAATGAAGTAAATAAGATTCATTATTCCTATGAAGAATTAATAATGAAATGAATTAGATAAGTCTTTTTCCAGAGCTCCAAGTATTAACAGGAAGATTCATATAAAATCTGACTTAAGACATTTTAGCTCCTATTTAGGTTATGACAGTTGCCTTGGAAGCATGAGGAATTCAGTTGGGATTCTCAGAATCATAAAAAGCCAAGGTAGTGGCAAGATGGGAGATGGAAACAGACAGATCCCTGATACACATACACATGCACACTTAAACCAAAATGTCCATACGCCTAAATTACTGTTGTTGATCCTGGAAACATTAGAGCTCTTCATAGTGTACTCCTCTTTTTTTGTTTTTGTTTTTGTTTTTCAAGACAGGGTTTCTCTGTGAAACAGTCTTTACTGTCCTGGAACTCACTCTGTAGACCAGGTTGGCCTCAAACTCACAGAGTTTAATCCCGAATGCTGGGATTAAAGGTGTGTACCACCACCACCACCACCACCACCACCACCACCACCACCACCTGGCATGTACTCCTTTCTAATCCAGTCCTCTATCACAATAATATAATGAATATAAAAAGGTGCAATGGAGGCTTTCCTCACAAAGACTGATAAGCTTTAGGATGAGATCTGTGATAAACAGATGTGGAGCACAGCTGTAGCCCAGCACTGAGTAGACACAGGAGGATAAGAAGTTCAGGGTCTGTCTTGTTGACACAGCAGGCCTGAAGTTTGAGGCCAGCCTAGGACACATGAAGCCTTGTCTCCAAAAGCAGCTTGTGAGTTGGTGAGATGCTTGAGGAAGTAAGTAGAGGCACTTGTGGCCTGAGCTCAACCCCCAGAATCCAAGTAAAGATGAAGACTAGTTGGTGTCCTGAAGTTTTCCTGACACTCACATGCATGTGTGCACACAAACACACACACACAAGCGTAAAACATTTTTGCAGTAACAAATATAGTGCCTCAAACATAAATGCTCACTTACTTTTATTGTAATTTTTATCGGCTTTTATCAATTACTACATCCTAGGAATAAATAAATAAAAGGTGGTGATAGCACATACCTGTAATCTCAGCATTTGGGAGTCTGAGGCAGGAGGATAGCTGTAAGTTAAAGACCACTCTGAGTGAGTTTGAGGCCAGCCTGGTCTATCTACATAGTGAGTTCCAGAACAGCCAGGACTACATAGAAAGACTCTGTCCATCAAAACCAAAACACAACAGTAGCAACAAAACCAAGGAAGTAAATGTTACCCTTGGGTATGTGCTTAGATGGTAGAGTGTTCACGCAGCACAGGCCAAAAGTTAAAGGATGAAAGGAAGGATCTGGAGAGTGAACATGAAAGAAAGTGAAAGATCCAGAAGAATGAGTAGACACATTTGAAATACAGTGTTAAAAGCCAGGGGTGGTGGCCTCGCCTTTAGTCCCCGAATTTGGTAGGCAGAGGAAGGCAATTCTCTGTGACTTTAAGGCCAGCCTGGTCTATACAGTGAGTTGCAGGACAGCCAGAGCTACATAAAGACCCTGTCTCAGAAAAATTAATAAAATGAATCTTCAAAAGTTAAGCCTGATGTGATGGTACAAACTCTTAGCCCAGGCTCTTGAGGCAGACACAGGTGTATCTCCGAGTTCAAGGCTAGTTTGATCTACAGAGTGAGATCCAGGGCTACACAGAGAAACTCCCTCTCAAGAAAGAGGGGAGGGGAGAAAGAAATACAGCATTAAGTGAAAAGTGCTGTGGATAAGCTGAGGAGCCTATTGGATAATAATGTTCTTAATTTGAGGCCAAGAGAACGGGCTGAGCCATGTTGCCTAGGTTCAGATCTTTTTCATAGGGGAAATGCTTTAATCTGTCTAACCATTTTTCTCTGCAAAATGTGTATGATAGATTCATGTAGCATGTGGGGTTAGGTGTGTTGGTGAGGCAAACCCCTTAGAACAACCTAACTAGCCAGAGCACTTGGTAAAAATTGTTTCAGTATTCCTGAGAAAAATGAACTACCTTTCATTTCCTGAAGCAGAAAGTTTGTATTCACTGTCACTCATTTGCACCTGTGTGTTGGAAATTCACTCCTCCATTCTAGGCATTATGTACAGTTAAGAGTTAACATAAATTTAAAGATGAGTGGGCTGTCTAGGAATTTTTTCTAAGATGTTTTTAATTAAGATTAAAGGGGCACTTATTAGTTATTTTGATGTCAACGTTTAAACTTAAGATAAAACTCCTTGGCGAAAGCAAATTTTAAAGCGATCTGTAGGGCTTTTTTGTTTGGTTGGTTATGTTGTATTAATATACATGGGTGTTTTGCCTGCATGCCGGTCAGTAACTGGTGCCTGCAGGAGCAAGAAGAGGACACTGGATCCACTGGGACTAGTGTGACAGATGGTTGTTAGCTACCATGTGGGTGGCAATCTGGAAGAGCAGCCTCTGAGCCACCTCTCTAGCCCTGAAGTCAAGTAGTTTAATTCTAATTGTCCTCTTGATTTATTTAATTATAACTTCAGAAAACAACAACAATAATATGCATGTCTCCTAGTGGCTTGATTACCCTTTTCTGAGAGTATCCAACTAGAGTGAAATATTCAGCAAGTTAAAAGTAAAATGTGGCCTCCGAGCTCTGTCTGCACTAGAGAGGAGGTGAGCCTTGCCCAGGAAATCTGAGTGTAGAGTCCAAGCACCTTAAAGGAGGAGCACTGGAACCCTCAGTCGCCATGGCAGTTTTCTTAGAAGACCATATGTGGCAAATAATTTTTTAAACCGGGCTTTGCTTTTGGAGTTCAAAAATAAAATTATATAAATTAATTGACTTATAAATGGCCCAGCCAACAGTCAGTACTTCTGTGGGAGAAAAATAAATGAAATGCCCCAAAATAGCTATGATTTCTTTACATTTTATATGAAATTGTTTATTGTGGGAATGTTTAGAAAGGTGTGTATTATCAATCACTTCTTTGTCTAGGACAGAGTATTCAAGACAGCTGAATCAGTGTGCTTTCATAGCTCCACCCTTGACCTTCTTTTGAAAATATGTCACGTGGCCCCAAAGCCTTAGGCTTTCTTAAAATTAAGTACAAATAATGAATTATTTTTTGAGACATGATCTTACTTTTTTTTTTTTTTTTGGATTTTTCGAGACAGGGTTTCTCTGTGTAGCTTTGCGCCTTTCCTGGAGCTCACTTGGTAGCCCAGGCTGGCCTCGAACTCACAGAGATCCACCTGGCTCTGCCTCCCAAGTGCTGGGATTAAAGGCGTGCGCCACCAATGCCCGGCGATCTTACTTATTTATCCTAAATGCTACAATTACAGACATGTAGTGCCAACAGCTAATAATGAGTTTTTAAATGTGAAAAAGTCCATCAATAAATGTAATTATGGATTTAACATAATGTTTACTGAAGATATGAGCTCTTCTAGATCATTGTGTTTGGGGTAAGAATTTATTTATAACGTCTTCAATAATCTTAAGACTGCATTCATACCTTACCATAGAAAACAGCCACCAAATGAGCAGAAAATCTACTAAAAGGAGTTAAATTTCTGCAGATCCATGGGTTTATCTATTTCTTATGTCTTAAAAACTGTGTATGGGGTGCAGTTTAGTTTGCTGTGATCTCATAGAAGGACAGTCTACGGTGAATATGAGACCCAGCTTAGGGACTCAAGTTAGAATTCCTACCTAGTCAGGTGGGAGATGGCTCAGCAGTTAAGAGCACTGGGTGCTCTTCTAGAGGTCTTGAGTTCAATTCCCAGCATCCACATGGTGGCTCACAGCTATTTTAATAGGACCTGATACCCTCTCCTGGCGTGCAGTTATATATACAAGCACTTATATGTAAAATATAAATAAATAAAATTCAAAAAAAAAAAAGAATTTCTGCCTAGTCTTTTGAACATTGTCATACATTGACCAGGGAACCTAAATTAAAGCTTTCCTTGAATTACATATGAAAGTCTTTTTTTTTTTTTTTCTTTTCTTTTTCTCTCTCTCTCAACAGATTCCAAATCCCCTGTTTGACCTGGCTGGAATAACATGTGGACACTTCCTTGTGCCATTTTGGACCTTCTTTGGTGCAACCCTGATTGGAAAAGCAATCATTAAAATGCATATTCAGGTAATTAGAGCAGAGTCACTGCTTGATGACCTGATGGAACCCAGGCACTGGTCGGTCCCTGCGTCCATCAGTTAGCTGCTGCCTAGATGATAAAGCATGCAATTTTAGAAATAGGTGAATTCCCTTGAATCCTCTTCTTTTCCTTCTTCCTTCTTGCTTCATTTTTTGTTCCATGAAACTATTCGAAACTTATAAAAGTAGTGTTCTGATGTGAGAAGATGTGTATCATTTTCATATACACAGTCACAAAGACGTCTCTCCTTCCTGACCACACATGAAGGAGTGCTGCCTTTCCTTGTTCCTACTTTCCTTCCCAGGCTTTGCATAGCACTTCTCTCTGCACCAATATCCTGTACTGAAAACCAGGCAGTTGTTAGTGCGGGGAGAGACAGGTGGCTGAGGAGGTGAGGAAATGCTGGCTGTGGGTTAGAGAAGTGAGACTCTGCTGCTCTTAGCATCCCCTTTCAGATACCCACAAACAGAGAAAGGCTAAGAACCTAAGTGAGAGAGAAATGCTTGTGTCTTGGACTGTAAACTCTCCCATCTAAGGACAAGTCTCATTGATAAAAATTAACCTGGAAAGAATGTGTTTTTAATCAGTGTGGCTTGCAGCAAATAAAAATTTACTAAAAGAAAGTTAAGAACAGTGGAATCATATCTCTGAAAATAAAAATCTATCCCCAGTGATTCTTCCTAACACTTCCCTGGCTCTGGCAATTAAAGAGGAGAATGAGGGACTGAAGAGATGGCCCAGCAGTTAAGAGCACTGGCTGCTCTTCCAGAGAACCGTGGTTCATTTTACAGCACCCACATGGCTGCTAATAACCACGTGTAGCTCTAATCCCAAGGAATCTGACATCTTCTGGCCTCTGTGGGCACTGCATGCACATGATACACATACATGCATGCAGGCAAAACACCCACTGACAAAGAAATCGATCTTTTAAAAGGAGGCGGGGATGCCAGGCGTGTTGTTCATGCCTTTAATCCCAGCACTCACTGAGAGATCAAAGCCAGCCCTGCCTACATAGCTAGTTCTAGGCCAGCCAGAGATACATAGACCCTGTCTCAAAAAGGGGGTGGGGAGAAGATGAGAGGATCATGCCTTTGAGAACTGTCTTTTGCTGTCAAAATGGTCACTCAATAGTCAGTGATGTCTTTTTCCTCCTTCAAGGAGTTTATTTCTTCCCACTTGTATTCAGTATTTAGTTCAATGTCAAGTGTGGTGGTGGTGCACACCTTTAGTCCCAGCACTCGGGAGGCAGAGGCAGGTGGATCTCTGAGTTTGAGGCCAGCCTGGTCTACAGAGTGAGTTCCGTGATACACAGGGCTACAGGGTTTGTAAAACCCTCCCAAAAAGTATTTGGTTCGGTGAACACAAGTTTTTTAATACTTCAGTGCTACTTACATGCTGAATATATAAACATTTTATGAAAATTTAAAAAAATAAATATTTTATTGAATAATAATAATATTTTGTAATATTTCTCAAGATAGTTTTTCTCTTTGTTTTTTTTTTTTAGGGGCTAAAAAATGCTAACATAGCTTTTTGAGTTGTAAATACTTAAGTACCCAGTCATTTCAATTCTTACAACAGTTTGTCTCATAATCTGTGTTGTTTTATGTGTTTGAATGTTTTACCTACATGTAATGTATGTGCACTCTATGTATGCCTGGTGCACAAGGAGGCCAGGAGAGGATGTCTCGTGGGTGCTGGGAACCAAACCCTAGTCCTCTTCAAGAGCAGCAAGTGCTCTTAACTACTGAGGCATCTCTCCAGCCCCATATTCTGTAAATTTATATCTGTCTTATTTTATTCTCCCTTAATAAATTAACTTTATATTATCATAAATTTTTGTTGCAAGTTTCTTTTTTATTAGTTCTTTGGAAACTTTGTGCGATGTATTTTTATCCCATTCATCCCCTCTCCACCACCTTCCATACACACCGAACTTTATATTATCTTTTTTTTATTTTTAATTCATCAAGTCCAATTTGTGCTGCCCATGTATGTATTCATAGATATACGGCCTTTCCCTGGAGCGTGGTAAACCTACCAGGGGCCATAGGCCTAAGAGAAAATGTTAATGCTAAGCACCTTTCTATAGCTGTATGTGCATAGCTTATCAGACCTTTTGTTTCAGAAAAGGGGTCAAAATTGGTAGATTTTTAAACATCCTAAGAAGATTTTCTTCTAAGATACACCAATTCATGCTTTTTAATGTTGTACCTCAGACTTACCTACATCTGGTGGAATTCTGGGATAAAGGAAGTACTCTGAGTACATTTGTCACACTTGGAGTGGCTAATGAGTAAAACATGTCCCTAAGAATGCTAGTGGCTGGAATTTGAACCTGGCTCAAGCTGGGTATCCTTTCCGGTGCTCTTTCTCCTGCCTTGTCTTCACAAAGTTGTTGATGTGATGAGGGCAAGTGAATGGTCTGCTGTTTATCAAGACCAATGGCAGGTATGAGGTAGTTTTGCAGATTTCAAAGAGAGCAAACGTACATTTAGAAGTAAAAAGTCTTGCCTTCAGACCTGGAATTCAAACCAAGCTCCAGAAGTTGAAGTTTGTTCTCCACTTACCATGTAGAAACAGAAGGAAGACAGTCTATTTGTGTTTCTGAAAGGCAAGAATCTGGGTTCCTTTACTGACTGTGGGAAATGTGTACCGTGTTCCATTGTACATAGTAACATGTTTATAAAGGCATGTCACTTGATGTGCATCCAGATGTAGCTTAGGAGAACAAGCCTTTCTCATTCCTTGAGTAGGCAGTATTAATGAGTAATATAAACATTCTGGCCGGTTCCAAAGTCCAGGGAAACACCCACACACAAATTTTTCTGTGTGCTACTAAAACCTATCTTCTCATTTGCTTTTCTTTCATCCTTTTTTTTTTCTCAGCTTGACGTTAGACAGCCTTCCAATAACTTATTTTTATTAATGCCTTTCTGTCTGTTTCTTCCTGGAAAAAGTTCCCATCAGCACATCCGCTGTGTTAGGTCCTGTTTATTCACTAGGAGATGCAACTTCTCTGCTTAGAGCGGGATCCTCACAGACATTGTCTTGCTACCAAATGATGAAGAAAATTAACATGATTGTCTATGTTCATCTTACTTACTTACCATGACTATTGTTTGTTTTTTGTTTGTTTGTTTTTTGCCTGTCTGCATCCCCATGAACGGAAACACATACATATGTGG